AAAAAAAAAAAAAAAACGTTTCTTAGTTTGTAGCGCCATCAAGTGTTCAATGTCAGCATTACATCAACAATTAGACCTTCAGATTGTATCAGTTGTGGTATGTTTAAGGCTTTTCTTTGTAAAACCCCGATAATTAAGATTATGCAAAAAGAGACCATRTGTTTTCAAAACTATGTAATTTTASGAGGATTACTATTACTGTATCTGGCAACCTCAAAGTAGTGTAACATAAAAAAATACTAATTCAAAAAATACCCTGCCCAGAACCTGATTTTAGGCACGAGAATAAAACCTAAATGTACTTTTGTCCTGTATAAAGGCACTTTTTATTTTCCGCTTATTATCATGTTTCYAGAAGAAGTTACGTGAGATATTACATCTAGTTGTTTATTCTTGGTAACATCTGAGCATGTGCTTTTAAATCACAAAAGTCAGGAAGCTCCCTAATCCTTTCTCACAGCTCAGGTTTAAAAAAAAAATACATAAATCATATGTTTCTCAAACATGAGTTATTTTCTTGGTGACAACATTTCGGTTCAAGAGCCAACACGATGCCGTACATCAGCGACATTGGATCACTGCAGTGTATGTTGATGCAAAAAGACTATTTTGTGCATTAATTCATCATCACCACAAATGTTACCCTTGCAAAGATTAAACAAGAAAACAAAATTAGTTGTCAGCTATTTATTGTAGAATAGCATCAAGTCATCGACAAACTTTTATTCAGCCTTAATGTTTAACTCAGCCATATTGGTTGGGGGGGAGGGGGTGGGGGCCAAAACTCTTTAACAAATCAGAATTTTTCATTACATGTTAAGTATGTTTAGCGATGCTCTGACTTCAAGTGTAAAACTAAACCAGGAAATAAACTCTTCTATCTCAATTTATAACCTAACTTAAGATGAATTACAAAAACTCAAAAGTTTTCCTGTTCAACATGTCATTTAAATAACTAATCATTTAGTAACGTGCACTTTGTTAGGCTGCATCATGCTGGTTATATTATATTCAGAAAGCTCTGAACARCTGGTTTGGCATGTATCCCAGGTGAAGGAAGGAGGTCTGAGCTTCTCTCTCCAGAACAGCCAACTCCTGAACAGTCGGGGCCAGAACATCCACGTGACCCTTATAGTTTCCACCTGGAGCGGGACAACAGGTTCAGGGAGAAAGCTCAACAGAAACACAAAGAATAAAAGGACTCTAACGACTATTCAAACTATTCCGGATACCTCCCAAAGCTCTGCGCTGTCCGTAGGTCACCTTCCCATCAAACTCATCCACGGGGATTTTGATATCTGGCTCACACTGAGTGATGGTGCAYTTTAGGTGCTCCTCAATTTCTGACAGGAGCTGCGAGATAACAGAGAGGGGGAAATAGAAGAAATGAGAACAGAAATAACATTTCAACAGCTGCTTTTTAAACACCATGCAAAGCTCTTCCCTGAGTAAGAGATGGTAGGCATTTTCCAAATCAGCCCATTTATCTCGTTGCCAAGGTTTGTGAGTCTTTGTTCACCTCTTTCTCGTTGTACCAGATGGTGCACCCTCCATCCTCCTTCAAGTGGGTGTTGTAGCAGCCTCTGCCTCGGTTTGGGCAAACATGGTACCACACCTGAGCACACAGGATACACTCACAAACACGCTAAATACTTAATACACACTTTTTTTCTTTAAATATGAGAGTCCATTTATGTTACCTTCTCTTTTTCCATCGCGACCAGGGAGATGGCAAGTCCCATTCTGTAACATTAAAAAGACCAAAAACATGAGAATCACTCACCATCAAGTGCTTTTTTCTATAATCTTTAAGGTGTTCTTATGTCACAATTTAGTCAACAAAATWAAGCTAAAGGTTTTACTTCAGCAGAAAATTAAAATTTCAACCCACAAAAAACTTAGATAAAAAAATTACACCATTCTAATGTTGTGAAATAATATATCTAAGCTTGGTCAATATAACCTTTTAGAACAAATTAATTTTTTAACAAATTTTTGAAGAAGGGTATGATGTAAAATTGACTTTTTGGAGCTTTATATCATGTTAAAAAACCTTCCTTTATCAGGGTTCCTACAGTTTAAAGCAAGTTAAATTTAAGACTTTTTAAAGGCAAGTGAAATTAAATTTAAGACCAATTTCANGTCAGAAACTCATGAATCAAAGTATTTTTGGTTGAATTATTCAAATATTGCTAATAGAACATTTGTTTTTAATCCATATCTAACTATGTAGCAGAAACGTTCTTAGCAGTCAGTTTTAAACTTATTTTAATTTCAGGAAATCCTCTAACAAGCCAAAATTTGGAGTTTTAGGACCCACAGTGGGGTCTTAACCCCAGTTAGCTGTAGATGAAAYCTTAAAGTGCCTGTAACGTCAATTTTTTTTAAGAAAAGTGAGTGCATTTTTGGAAAGACATTATTAAGATATTACAAAATGAATTTCACGTTCCTCAGATGTACAGTTGTTCAGATTTTTACATGTGAAATAACAGGAAGTGATGTCAAAGGGGAAAGTCTGCATGTGAATATTTAAAAAAATATTTTTAACAATTATTTTAATATTTGAAATGAATTACAATTATCCTATGTACAATGTGTTAACATTTTTAAGACTTCTGAAAGGTTGATTTAAGACATTTTAAGACTAATTTTGGCCTTATTTTTTGGATTGATGAATTCAATGCCTTTTAAGAYTTTTTAACGATCTGCAGGAACCCTGTTTATCAAAATAATACTTTCACTCATTCATGCTTGTTTGAGAAATCCTTGAGTCTCCTGTAGTAGCCATGTGGGGCTGCCTGAACACTTCCGGGTACAAAGCTCCACCCATTTACCAAAAGCTCCTCCCTGGAGCTCAGTCTGCAGAAGAGCTCCCGCCCCACAAAGARCCCCTCCTCTGAATCACTGCTGTGAAGACGTGCTGAAAGCGGGAGCGTTGGTGCCTACCTTTCAGCTCGTCCCACTCTGCCRATACGATGGACATAATTCTGCTTCTCGTCCGGCAGGGTGACGTTGATCACTGCGACGGAGCACAAAGTGGTGAGAACTGACGGAAAGAGAACACGCAAAACACGACGTCGCTTCATTTACCGTAAGGAACTCCGCGGATGTCGATTCCTCTGGCTGCTACGTCTGTGCAGATCAGCAGCCTCACTTCTTTTCTCTGTGAACGCAAAAATGACTCTTTAATCGGTTCATAGCTGGTTGAAACGCCAAATAACGTTGATWTCTTTTATTTTCACCTTGAAGCGCTCCAAGTTATTTTTCCTCTCATTGGGCTTTCGATCTCCGTGAAGACAAACGCAGGAAAACTGGTGACCTTTACTATCTGGACCTGGAGGAAAAATCATAAAACTATTAGCATTTTGTCATGAGATGAAACAGATTTAAGCAGGTTTGTGTTCTGTTTTCTGGTGGCTGAAAACAAAAACGAAGCCGTGGCAAAAAACCCGCTTCACCTCCTCCTTGCTGAATGAAGTACTGCTCCATGTTGTCGCAGTCAATTTTGGTGCGACAGAAGATTATAGCCTGGTCCATTTTGTGTTCCTTAATGGCTCGAACCGTGTACTCGCCCTTCAGCACCTTGATGGCTTCTGACCACATTTCTACAACAGACAGGTACAACCAGAAGGTCCAATAAAYCTGGATTGTTGTTTGGGTGACATGTATAGATTAAACCACACAGCACCTGGAGTGTTGGCTCCTGGTCTGGTGTTATCTTTGGCGTGAACTTCATCCGTCTGAGACAAAGCAAAGAAGAAATGCCCGACTTCACAACACAATCAACCTATGAAGCTTTGAAACAAGTTAGTTCTGAACGTTTTATCCCTCTGCTTAGCACGGCGGACTCACCCGAATGTGGTTCTTGCCGAGGCGCTCCCACAGACGGTCGCTCTTGGGATTAACGGGGACCACCACATGGTGGACGGTCTCGGGAACCGAGTCCTCCCCTTTCAGGTCCACCCAAGTGGGGAAGTGCATGATGCGCTCGGACAGCTTCTTCACGTCAAACGAGTGCAGTGTGGCCGAGCAAACGATAACCTACGAGAAAATCAATTAAAAAATTAATTAATCAAATTAAAAACACTGCATACTTACACCTGTGATTTGTTTGTGTTAAAGCTTAGTTTATAAAAAAAATCTCTAATTGAAGACTTGTTAGAATGATCTTACCTGGAGCCTCTTGCCATCAGATGTGACCTGAGGGATTTGTTTATGAATCCTGTTGATAAAATCGGTGTATCCTGCTGATAGGAGGCCATCCTGAAGGCACACAAAACACAGAAAAATTGTTACTAATTTTAAAAAAACTGTTGCAATATAAACATTTTGTCCCTTACAGACAAAAACAGCTTTGTTTGAACATAAAGGTGTTTAAATCCTGCAGATGTGTTGCACATACACACTCGTCCAGGACCAGAAAACGAACTTGAGAGAGACTGAGTTTCCCGGTGGAGATGAGATCATCCAGCCTGCCTGGTGTTCCCACAACAATGTCAACCTGGTTTAAGAAAGGCAATAAAGAAAAAAGAATTAGTTCATAAGTGTGTTCAATAATCAAAGTGTTTGTTTAAAAACTGAAGGCACACACCCCCTGTTCCAGAACTGCTAGCTGCTCTTTGGCAGCCACACCCCCGATCACCAGAAGTTCCCTGTAACGACAGATGGATACATTTTAATTCATGCCGACTAAAAATATTTATATTGATGTGCTGGCTCCATCTGCTGGTGTCCATTAAAGAAAGGTAAAACAAAAATAAATAAATAGTTTCAAATGTTTGACATTGTTTAATAGATGGTTCTCACTGATGTCATGAATTTGTTTTTTTAACCATGTGTGTGGGCTAGCATTTAGCTTGTAGCTACGAAACCATTATGAAGGAATCCCAAAAATCTAGCTACAAAAATAGAAAAAATAAAAAATAAAAATTTAATGTTGAATGAGGCAGACAGGCTACTGCCACAAACAACAAACAAACAAAAACAAACAAACAAAAACATGATACTACAACCGTACACAGGGTTTTTCCCAGAAAACTTGCGAAGTCTGGCAGTAGTGTTTATAACCTGAGCAGAGTGCTACGTTGCTAATGYTAGGTCCTAGCTACCWATCCTGYGGTCTCAGTGTTTATAAGGCTATAATGCACTGAAGAAACCCCTGGTACTGCTACATAAACAATACTACTCTCTTCCATTTGCGCCTACAAATATGACGATTTGATCACATTATTCGCAGCTCATTACGTGACTTAAGAACCACCCATTTAAACAGAATTACATTTGCGAAAACAAACACTTTTTTTCTGTAAGATTAATGGTTTCAAACCGCTTGTGCTATTTTTCCAACCATCAGCGGCACCTTTGAGGAGACTTACCTTAATTTAGGATTGTCCACATATTTCTTAAAGTGCTTGACGTTGTTGAAGGTTTGCTCTGCCAGCTCTTTAGACGGCTCTATGATCAGAGCTTTGGGAGCGTTCGATGAAGCYTTCACTTGACTCACTTTAGCACTGCCTGGACATTCCCAGAGAAGAYGCAAACAAGACAAAAGACGTCAGAGTTTGTTAKAGATGGTTCCAATCATTAGCAGCAGAAAACTGAATCTTGTTTAGCCCTAACCAACGAKAAAAGAAACAATAAAAAGAATCTCAACATAGCACCTGGACCAAGTTTGAATGCACACACCTGTCTGAGAAGATTTGACCGTGTGACCATCTGGTGCCTGATCCAAGGCGACAAACCCGCCCTTAGGAGGGTGTTTGAAATCTTCACCTCCAAAGTTGAACTTCAACTCAGCATTCTATTTAGTAGACGAGGCAGCAATTTTGAACAAAGTCGTATTAAGATTCTATCAGCAGGTTTGTTTTCTTCCAYTCTGTGGTAGAAACCTATTCTCTGGTGTTACCTTGAGAACGCAGGAGGCAAAGAAAGCCTGGTTCCTCAAATTTTGAGGGATCTCAAAAGCCACACCCAGCTCATTCCCTGGAGGAGATAAAAACAACAAAAACTACATCATCTAATGTTCTAATTCCTTCCAACTCTATKTATGTTACTATTTTCTTTTCAGCTTAGCCAGCACCATTTTTTGAGAAGGAAATTTGGTTCTTTTCTAGATCCAGATAGCATCCGATAGTGTCGTGCATGGTAAACTCCTGCAAAGACAAAAATGTAGTAATATTGGAAAAAACGCTCCTGGTCATAAATCCAAACAACGTAGCTCCTAATTCTCACCTCTCCGTAGCTATCAAACTGCTTGTTGTTGGATTTTTTCCCAGTCCCACCAAAACCAAAACCATACTTATCAGTTCCTAAAAAAAAGAATAGTGTTAGAGGCCAAGTTATTGTTTAATTGCGAGAGAATATTTTAGGTGCTTTGTGTTCTGCAGGATAGCAATTCTGTAGCGCATACCCAAATCCAGAGCCGCTTGACTGGTGGACCAGCCAATCCGGCACAGACCCTGGTCATGGCAGGTCACCTCATAGTAGTACTTTCCTACACAATGAAAACAGAAACAAATTTAATACTRATGCAATGCAATAAATGCAAYAAAAAGTCTCTTTTTGACGCACCTTTTGTGACACCTTTAGTGGAGCGGCAGCCRTGCCACTCTTTAAACTCTCTGCTCTGACAACACAGCCCGTCAGGTCCGATAGCTATGCAGACGTAGAAAAAAAAGGATGAATGAAAGAAAGCAGTGTCTATATTATAAAAGTCCCAACAGCATTTATTTCAAGCTCGTCTTACCAAATGCCGGGCTACGATCATACGGGTTCATCTGCCAGGTGTTAAAAACTGAGGTAAAATAAATCATAGGAACAAGTCAAACATCTGAACTGCACATAAGGAAAGATTTTTTTTGTAAATGAGCCATTTAATAATGACGCTCTCACCAGCTCCTCCTGTTTTGATAGAGGCTCTGCCCTTCTTGCCCTCCTGCTGATCCTTCAAGGTCTCGTACACAATCTGGATCACTGGGATACTGAAGGCCTGACAATCAAACAGAAAACAGTAATTAACCATGACACTAAAACCCCAACCACACTGTTTAATTGGTCATATAATGTCCAATATTTACAACTACATAAAAAAAATATTGGCTTTACTTACTCCTGTTTTGCCACTACCGGTTTCTGCAGCCTTAAATAGAAAAAAAAAGTAAAATAATAATCAGGCACCTAACCTGCAGTTAGTTATATACATAAAAAGTGTAAAAAATCGTTAAGTTTACCATCAGTACATCTCCTCCACCAAGAATCAGGGGGATCGACTCTGCCTGGATGTCAGTAGGCAGTCTAAAGTCCAAATATTCAAAAGAATAAGTAGTTAATGTACTAGTAAACTTGTAAACACGTAATAATACTATGTCACCAAACACGTTTTAGCATATTAGTAACTCACAGCCAGTCCATCTCCTCCAAAGCCTGCGCTATTTCAGGCATTACTCCCATTTCTGTTCATTTAAAGACACGTTCCGTGTTACGGGGTGCGTAGTTTTATAAACAGACAATACTTCATTAGTTAAGTATGAAAATAAAGATTAGTCTGACGTTAAATAAAAACTTAATTGTCGAATTCTTACCAGAAAACGCTGCCATTCTTGCTGCTAACAGAAGCAAACCGGATGTGACGCGTTCACAATGGTGCGACCCGATTGTCACATAAAATGCGAAACAATAGTTCCGCATTGAAAKCTATTTAGTAAATTAACAAATAGTTTTACTAAAAAGCAAGACWTAAAAATACATATTTATATATTATTACTATTTAATAT